AAACTATTAAAAGATAAAAACACATTTCATTCAATGTTTCCAGCGTGTTATAATTAAATTGAACTAGCTTTCGAGATAATTTTGTACCACATTCACACAACGCCATCTAGTCCCAAACTAAGCAGAGCTTGTACTATGGCTACTAGACAACTGATATAAATACATATATACTTTTTTCTTTGTAAATACATACACATTATACATACATAAGGATGTGTATGTATATATCTAATATAATAATATATTCTACCACATTCACACAACGCCATCTAGTCCCAAACTAAGCAGAGCTTGTACTATGGCTACTAGACAACTGATATAAATACATATATACTTTTTTCTTTGTAAATACATACACATTATACATACATAAGGATGTGTATGTATATATCTAATATAATAATATATTCTACCACATTCACACAACGCCATCTAGTCCCAAACTAAGCAGAGCTTGTACTATGGATACTAGACAACTGATATAAATACATATATACTTTTTTTTTGTAAATACATACATATTAAACATAGAAACACCTGTGACATTTGTGTGCCAACACCCAGACCAAATCAAACATCAAATGTTCATCATTTGATGTTTGATTTGGTCTGGGTGTTGGCACACAAATGTTTGACTTGAGCGGGATCGAACCCGCTACCTTTGGAATAGCAGTCCATTACACAAACCACTACGCCATCCAGTCGTCGATCCAGTCACTGCGCCATCATATGGATCCAGGATGCAACCTGTTTTTGAGACATACATTCTTGGATACATAAATACAGATACATTCTGCATCCCCTTTCTTTTTTTTGTTCGGCAATCACCTCGGATACCTTCCCACCGCACGGCCAGTGGGGTGGTTATGTCGGACTGAAGCCCAGTAAAACCGCACGCGGATAACGTAGAAAGTTCTGGTACCCTGTGGGACCCCGGGCCATCTAAGGCTTACAGATGGCCCTCTCATGTGTGGCGGCCACGGTATCCCCTTCAAAGAGCATAGTGTACCCTATAGCTAAGATATTGTTTAAAATTAAATTACATTAGTTCAATCTGTTTTATTCCATGCACATCCGTTTATCGTAAAAACGTGATCAATTATATTAAAACATCTTCTATCAGATAAAAAACGACCTTTGATTTCACGAGGTTTAAATTTTGCGGGAAACCTAAGTCAGAAAACAAGTCTAGCAATTCTGAACTTAAGCACTACCTAATGTTTACACGTACATTTTAATTGACATGCTACCACTAAACTTATATATTATTAGTCTTTGCCTTTTTTCATGTTGTGTGTGCTATATTGGACTACTGCACGAATGGTGTAGTGGTTTAAGCGGTCGCCACGCCGCTTTCTAATACGCCGAGTGTTCTGGGTTCAAGCCCCACATGGGACGACACTCTGTGTGATCCACAAATTGTTGTTCTGAGTCTGGGTGTTCTTTGTGTCCATTTCATGTACGTTTGTAAAGTCCCCCGCGACACGGGATATATTCCTAATGCGGGATTTGTCTTTTCAAATAAAACAAAACTGTCTAGACTTGATATTAATTAAATGGATACTCTTACCTAAGATAAAGACAGGTTCCCTGCCTAGTTTAGGAAAGAGAGTCCTATGACTATTGTATATATGTTGTACTGTTTTTTTTTCTTGTAAATTTAAGTATTATAAGACAACACTGTATGCCATGTACAAATTACTTACTTGAATAAATTATTATTATTATATGTACCCACCTCCTACGTGTGATGTGATGTGATGATGATTATTATATGTACCCACCTCCTAATGTTATGTAATGGCAGTAGTCTATAAGTGTACCTTTCAGAAATAAACAAATAAATATTATGCATACTCAATTCAAAATATCTTCATTTCATAAAAAAAAATAGTTTGTAATCGTATCTTATGACTGTACTCTGTGACTCTAAAAGATCGTCAAGCACAATAGCTGCAATCTCTGCTTTGTCAAATATTTCATCAATCACATCACATCAACAGCCTTTAATGGTCCACTGCTAGACATAGGCCTCTCCTTAGAAAGGAGGTTTTGGCCTACGGCCTACCACGCTGGCCAGACGGGTTGGTATAGGGTTTTTGTCAAGTTTTCCTTATTTTTGCAGTGCTGGTGTCCTGCGTTGTTCTGCGCCCTTAGTCGGCTCTTACGACACCCACGGGATGAATTGGGGTAGTGACATTACGTATTCTTAATCCGTCACTACACGGACAAATATTTAGCAAAATAAATATATACGTATCGAAAATCTACTACATACCTGTTCCGATCAACAGCCACCCCTTTCCCAGGGGTTGAGCCTTATGAGAAGAAATGTCTATTTATGCTCTCAATGATCCGAAAACCAGTAATCCTTGTGGGCTTGCAGTGAAAGCACTTTATTAAGAAAAAAAGTTTTTTAAATGTACCTAACACCTTTCCTCTTGCTTACCAACAATTTCGTAGAAGTGATGTCGGGAAACCTCCTTTCTAAGGGGAGGCTTGTGTCCAGCAGTGGACCATTAAAAGCTGTTGATGATGATTGATGTGGGGGAAAGGGGACGGAAGTGGGTAGCAGGGTAGCTATTTGATTTGACCAATAAGCGTGCGCGGTGCTAAAATGAGTCGATTATCAAGGAGATATATTGGATCAAATATAAGTATTTTATCATAAATGCAACTACTGCCGTAAGGCTCCTTCGTTTTCTTGTTTAACTCTATGTGCGTTTTAGTACGACATGCTTAATCCATTATGTATATAGCAATGAGAAATTAAACCCTTATATTAATAAACTGATAGGTCAGCTTCTAGTGGCCTTGTAAACAAAATAGTTTACACTTTTCTGACAAAATATGCATTTATAAATGATAAATTAATCCCTTATTGCCCTTTTAAAGGCTCAAAAACTTGTGCAAAGTGTAGTACGAGGCCGTCCTACCACCTACCGATATTACAGCACTTACGTCAGCAGTTTTTGACGGTCAACAACCGTGTGTCGCGGTCACCGTGCCCGTTTTCATTGCGTTTCGTCCAACTTTCACTTTTACATAGACACTATTGAGGCAACAGCGACATCTTTTATCGAGTAGACAAACTAGAGATAAATATGTTTTGGAAAGAAAATTATTTGGATTTTGTAATATTTTATTTTGAAAATAAAAAGTTCCCATATAGATTAGGAATACTGTAGATTGCTGAATACGTTTTCTAAAATTTTACTTCAAAAGCTTACTCCATTAGCCGCTAGTGCATTCAGTAATTAATGGTTTTGGAAGAACTGCACCCGAACGGAAAATGATTTCCTGTCATAACTTTTTTTGTTATATAAATGGTTTTGATTTCCTATGAATCGATACAAAAACTCTTCAGTCACTTATTAACGATGTCTCTTAATTAGTGTACCTACACAAACAAGAATATCATTAACATAATTTGTAAATTGAAAATAAAAACAACGAAATCTAGATGCATCTCACCTAGATAACAACACCTTTAATTACAAAACGCTGTTTTTTTTTTGTTATTTTCCCTCCAAAATTTAGTTAACAGTTTCTAAGCACAGATAACACAGATAAGGCTCTAGCATCTGACAACTACGTCAATTACTGACGAGCCGCCCTTTGGTCTATTCTCGTTTAGTCTTGACATCACGCGAGATTGCTTGAGACCGTACGAGCACCACGGGACGGCTATCTGATATGTTCGTTCGGTCTCTCTAAACCAGGGATTTTCAAAATGGTCGATATAGACCCCTTGGTGTCGAAATCGGTTTCCCAGGGATCGACATAAACGAAAACTGATTTTGGGGGACCACGAGGTGTAAAAATCGACCCCTATTAATGAACACAAGTGTATTAGTTGTGTAAACTTTTTATAAGAATGACTAATATTTTAGTAGGAAGTATCATTGTTGAACTTTTTTTAAACTCAACAAGTAGATAAGCATACAGAAATTTAGCGATGGGAGTCTGAGGTATCAGTTTATTTTAGAAAAGGGGTCTCTTACCCAAAATAGTTTGGGAATCCCTGCTCTAAACTATATCATGGCATCCTTTTGTTGAAACTTATTTTTTTTTTAACTTACCAGCTGATTCGTGCAACTTCTGCGTCTATCAAAAGGAATAAATTTTACCCGTTTTCGCAACATTTTTCATTGATGCTCGGCTCCTAGTGATAGTAGCGTGATGTTATAAGGCCTATAGTCTTCCTCGATAAATGGGCTATTAACAACACTGAAAGAATTTTTCAATCCCAACCAGTGGTTCCTGAGGTACTACAAATGATAAAGTTTACTACTAGAATTGTAATTTCACAATAATATACCATGTCAGGATGGCCGAGCGGTCTAAGGCGCTGCGTTCAGGTCGCAGTCCACTTCTGTGGGCGTGGGTTCGAATCCCACTTCTGACAAACCTTTTTGATGATTTTTGGAACAGAATTAGTATTTCAGCGGAACTTAATACATTGTATTTACTATAATGTTTACTATTAGGGTTTTTAATATTTTAGTAACGATGGTTAAGGAAAAGGATTTCTTTTAAAGCAGAAAATATTAACCATTATTTACTTTTGAGAAAATTAAATATAAGTTTGTACCCAACTCGAACTTCACGTCATTGCTGCATTGATAACTGGTAAGACCATTACATAAACATTACATTACTGTGTGATAGACCTTGCTTTAACGCCATCTCTATCAAAATGTATACATTACATCTAGCTCCTGAGACCACTTGTTATGCGTTACAAGTTTTATATTTAAAACAATTTTATAATGTAATATAATCTTAATGAACCCGACAAAATATTCTTAATACTAACATTATTTAATTATAATCTTATTACGATCACGCTTCTGTCATTTTTAGTTTTTGAACGATCGTAACCTAGTCCAATTGACGTTTCATTTAAGGTTATCTGTAGTTCCCCCTCTGGAAAGTCGAAAAGAAACAAAACTTACAACTTTTTACACCTGTTTAAAGTAACAAAATAGAATTAAAAAATGACAACAATAAAAGTAAACGACGAACAGGAACTAATAAATAAATTGGCTTCTTATATAGAGAAGATATCAAACGACTCAATTTACAACCGTGGAAAGTTTTACGTCGGCTTTTCCGGTAAGTTTGTTTTCAAAGGTCATTCATGTTTTTCATATTTTTATGATATGTTCGCTAATACTTCACGTCATATTGTGTAATTTACGAAATAAATGATTTCATAACAATTGTTTTTTTTTTCATATAAATATTTAAATATTATATCCGGCTAATTTATTTATTTTATAGTACATGAAACTGGAAATTAACTTTCATTACTCATATCTATATAATACCTATAATATAGTCTTGTAGACTATATTTGTGCATTTGTGAACTACGATCTTGATCAGATAAATAATTAGCAACATAGTCAAATAATCAAATAAATATTCATAAATAACATAATGATAGCTACATATCATTGAAGTTTTAAAATTTTTAATTAATCCTACACCCTGTACCTAGTTACTTAAATCCAGTTTCTGAAAAATTAATTAACTTATCGAGCGAAGTCCAGTTTCACGGTCATTTAGAGGGTAAGGTCAAATTGGCCTCGAAGAAGCTTGGTGTACTGCTCAGATAGAGGCAGTATTTCACACGAATTTCAAAGAAACTGACAACTTTCGAACATTCGAATAGCATTTAATATAAGAATTCACGGGATAATTTCTGACAGCTTGGTTTCATCATCAGCCTATCACAGTACACTGCTGGATATAGGCCTCTCCTACTATATGTCTAGATTTGTTTGATCAAATCAAATACCTAAAGTGCGCTTTTAGTACTTTGCAAGAGATTTGACCTAAGCACTGCCAAGCTTGCCGGCCAAATATGAATCAATTTATTTTTTTAAAAAGACAACTCATGCACTAGGTATATACCTATTCTGTCATGGGGAACTTCACAAACATACATGAAACGGACACAAACACACACAATGATCTGATTTTTCTTGTCTTTTTTCCCTCATGTGTAAGACGCTAGGGTAGGTAGCAAGGATTACGAGTTGCCATGATTGTGGTGTTTCATACGGAATCGGAAGGATTTGAGTAATAGGCAGTACGTGGTATTCTCTTCTATACTTACTATCTTCTGTGCGTAATGATTTAGAAGGGTACCGATGGCCAAGTATGGGTTTATTTCACTACTAGTCGATAGTCACGGCGCAGCGGTGACCTCCTTGGGGAAGTTTCCGTGTGCCAATCGCAAAGCCGAACGCGCTCACCGTCGAGAGCGAGTTGGTGTAAAATAAACTTGCACTTATTTTCTTCTAATAGAAGTGCCTATTCATATGTATTGTTTTTTGTAAATTTCAGGAGGTTCCGTAGTCAAGTATCTAAAGGAAAGTTTGCCTAGAGTGGACACGGAATGGTCTGAATGGGTGTTGGCATTTTGCGACGAGCGCGTGGTACCCGAAGATAATGAGGACTCGACTTTTGGCACATATAAGAAGGAACTTCTACCAAATATACCGCTGAAAGAAAGTCAATTTGTTACAATCAAGCAAGGTGTTACGGGTAAGTAATATTCTCTTACTGTTCAGAGTGTTGATATCTGAATGTCTAGCCCAGGCGCGGCACGAAGCTGTCTTAACGGTCTAGATTGAAAGAAAATACACATTCTAGTCTAAATATTGTAATAAAATATTGGCCTTGATATTAGGCGGCCGCATATCCAGCTTCGAGATTGCTCAGATATCTTTTATCAGTCAAAACAGCTATTAGTTTCAATGATAAATGTGAAATTACAATAATTTAATTAATATTAGCCCACCTCCCCTCATTTTAGACTGTTTTCATCATCATGTCATTTTAGACTAAACACAATGTTCAAATAACCAAGTTCTTTCAGCGAAGGAAGCCGCTGAGGACTACACAGCAAAACTTACAAAAGCCTTTGGTGGAGATGATTTCAAATTCGACCTACTTCTCCTCGGTATGGGCCCTGATGGCCACACCTGCTCACTGTTCCCTGGCCATCCGCTGTTAGAGGAGAAAGATTTGAAGGTAGCTTTCATTACGGACTCGCCCAAGCCTCCTCCAGAAAGGATAACATTGACTTATCCAACTATTAATAATGCAAGGAATTGTATATTTGCGATCAGCGGTGCTGGAAAAGCTGATATGATTAAGGTAAATACATGTTGTATAGTACACAGGCTAAATTTACCTGGATAAATAACACTCATAGTTAAAAGTTGCTATTTCGAAAATAATATGATAAACATGAAAGTTCGTGAGGATTAACATTTAATAAGGATTATTGTTACACATACACTCCAGAACCACTGAAAGGGTCTGGATGAAATTTGTCTTACAGAGGTCGATAAGATTATAATCTGGAATATCACACAGGCTATTTCTGTGTAACAAAATTAACATCTACGCAAAGTTGAGGATAAAAGTTGGTCATAAATAAAATAATATATAGAAGAGCAAAATAACAAATTACATATCATTTCAAAATAAGTAGAGTAGTTTTGATTTTATCTGTATTACCAGAACTATATTTCCTAGAATATGGCCTCCCCTGGTAGCAAAGTTGATCGTCATTAGAAGATAGTAATTAAATTTAGTAATAGAATTTTATTTTTCACCAGGTTAATAGTATTATCGTTTTTTTTAACTCTCTAGTTATGAATAATCCTGTGTAGCTGGGTACTTTACAAACATACATGAAACGGACACAAAGAACACCCAGACTCAGAACAACAAGTTGTGGATCTCACGAATTAAAAATTAAAATTATTTTTTGCCACTTTAAATACTAGTTTTCAAAAATAAATGTTTATCAACAGCGCATACTAAAAGACAAAGAAGACCTGCCAGCGGGACGCGTGAAGCCAGGGGCCGGCGCGCTGTACTGGATCCTGGACGAGGGGGCCGCGAAGCATCTTTGACAACAGCGCTAACGTGTTTATTGTGCAGTACAGTAATAGACGATTGGGACCACATTTTTAAATACATAATAGTATGTAGGTACTTAAAATATTCGAGGATAATTAATAATTAAGATGGTGCTGCTGTCTCAAAAGCCAGCCATTACTTTTACCGCCACAAAGTAACCAAAAGCAAAGATATTAAAAATCTCATATTACATCACAAGGACGTTTTCAGTAGGACACATGTCTTATGTAAATTGTTTGTCCTTATCAAAATTGAAGTTTTAGTACGAAGCAATGCAGAAAAATACACTTGAGGGTGTTGCTGTGTAACTCCTGTTACCCATGTTTTATATATTTAGTATGGAACATTCCAGAATAATGAAGAACAGTAAATCAACTTAAGAAAGTCAATATGTTCATATTGTTGGGATACTGAATTAATCAAAATTGTGTCTAAATTTATCACTTCATTTCAAGAACACAGAACAACTAACACAACTAAAACAAATTTCAACACTACCCACTACAAAAACCGTAGTTTGAGATAAACATTCTTGAACACTAAAAAGCTAAGGTTTCAGTGTTTAGCTAGATATAATACTAATATTCTACCACATTCACACAACGCCATCTAGCCCCAAACTAAGCAGAGCTTGTACTATGGTACTACTATGTACTATATTTTTTTTGTAAAGACATACATATTTTACATAAAAACACCCAGACCAAATCAAACATTACATGTTCATGCACACAAATGTTTGACTTGAATCGAATCCGCGACCATTGGAATAGCAGTCCGTTACACATAGCACTACGCCATCCGGTCGTCTCTAATAAGATAATCGTAATCACACATCAACAGCCTTTATTAGTCCACTGTTGGACATAGGCCTCTCCTTAGAAAGGAGGAGGTTATGACTCACTCAAATAGAGGAGGTAAGTAGACTCCTACTGAAGTCTTACTGTACAATTAACATTTTACTGTATGTAAATGCTTTTAGTTTGTAATAAACTATTGTTATGTTTTTATTACATACAGGGACTTTGAATTCGTGTAAGTTAGTATAATAATATTTTTAAACTAAAATTGTATTTCAGGGTGATGATGGGAGCACCAGGGACTTCCTTTCTAGGGTATACCTGGTTCCCCGGCTATTAGTACCCGAGACGGCGTGCGGTTTTAGTCGGTTCGAGTCCGAAATGCCACCGAGAGGTGGTATCCGAGGGGATTTCGCACGGAAAAAAAAAGGGTGATGATGGGTATTAAAAGGAGGTCCTCTAAACTTTACATTGAATCTACTGTGTTAAGACACTCAAATTTATATTCGTGTATCTATAACTAGTCTTGGTTACGGATACAATGTTTTTATTTATTCTAAAAGGCAATATTTTTTTCACTAATTAAAAAAAAATCTATCATGTTTCTTTCATGAAATTGCAAGTTTCAAAATTGTATTATAGGCATAACTGTGTTTCATATTGATTTTTTTGCAATGTGTAGATGTAATTTAGGGAGGGAATCGTGTAACAGGAAGCTGATGTAGCGCATTATTTGATATTAAATATTTTCAATTGTAATTTTTAATCTAAGTGTAACATTCCTTACATATAAAAGACAAGTAATGCCTGTCCGTGTGGTGGCGGATTAAGAATACAGACTGTGACCACCCCTATTCATCCCGTGGGTGTCGTAAAAGGCTAATAAGGAAGCAAACTACGCAGGACAACAACACTGCAGAGAGAAGAAAAACTTGAAACAAACCTTATACCAACCCGTCTGGCCCGGCGTGGTATAGTTGGCCAAAACCTCCTTTCTTAGGCGAGGCTTATGTCCAGCAGTGGACTATTAAAGGCTGTTGATGATGATGATGACAAATTACACCCAGACACAGAACTAATAATAGTGATTGTCAGGACTAAACTATTTCTTAGTGATTTTCAGTTTCGTATGTATGTATGTTCTGCAGTGGACTAGTAAAGGCTGTTGATGTGATGATGAATGCCTGTTTGTATAGAGGGACCAATGTTTTGACATGAGACAGTTTATACATAAGACAAGGTACGAGCATCTTCTATCTCCTTCTTCTTGTTTTAATCCTGACTTGTTAGGTATATTCATTTTAATAATAGGATTTAGAAGCTGTGTTATTTTTTTATAAGTGAAATGCTGTGCTATTTTTATATTGTTAAACGTTGCTTTTAATCGTTTAAAATATTATTTCGCTTTATTTTTACGTTGCTGTTGTTATTATTTGCAATAAAATATTAACTGAAATCCTTTTCTTTTATTGTGAGGTCTCGTCCTGTGATTGGAGACGCCATTAGGACTGAGACATCAACCGGCCAAGCATTCTTAGGAGTCGTACCTCTACTTCGTGACCCATTCAGGGAGAGGGAGGTCTTTTAAAGATCACGCTTGATCACAGGGCTAAGGGGAGAGCTTAGGTTTTCGACACGTTATAGCCTTGTATTATTAAGGACAAACATGAGATTTTTTTACTTGCTATTTACCCGATTTACTTTTTATTTAAAACCATATTTATAAAAATTAATTTTATGAGAAACCCGACTCAAAAGAACAATTTAAAAGTAATGCACTAAAAATACGGGTCTTGATTTATCATTTTAAAATCCTCATGATGAGCCGTCATAAGTATTTTGCAGTTTCCATATTTTTTTTATAAAGTCATACTGACCGTGCAGCGGTTTGGAAGATATAAGGTAATAAAGACTATTACATGCATACATACATATAAGATACGCGCAAGAAACAATCATTTCTTGGCAGTCGGGTAAATTACTTCGTGAAAACTAGAAGGGAGGAGAGTAGGACTTGTCTATGGCTGGTCACCGTCAGAGGTTTTAACGTTGTAAAAAAAAAGATCATGTAGGTACATTCCCTTACCTGAAAATATTTATCGAATAGGTACGAATAAAAGTCAGTAGGCAAGTTCCAATATGTGTAATCCCTCATACTTTCAAATGCCCGCGAGATCATCACAACTGCATTCTTCCACATATAAAAGAGCTCGACTATTACTCGTTTACATTAAGATTATCGTCCTATGACATCTCTTTAATCATTTTTAATAATAAGTGTTAATTACAAAAAGTATGTCAACTAAATAAAAAACTTCGGCGCGCATAGCGTACCAAATGCTTACATACATATACATACTTTATAAGATATACATAGCAACTACAGGTAATTTAACTCAATCCTAGCGGCGCCCGGCCGCCATATTGCTTCGTTAAACCTAACCTTAATCTCTCAGATTTCATGTTACAAAAAAAAAGACAAAAAATGGATGCGCCGCTGTACGGCGTCGCTTACACTATGAATTTATAACATAATTATTAACATAGTTGTTTGAGTGAATTTCGTTTATTTTACAAGAGTGTAGGGTGTTGTGTTAATGTATACGTAGCTATACTATACTATCGGGCGCGCAATTGTCTGATGTGAGGGGGTCGCGCCAGCGCTATGTACATTTGTCACTCGACCGACGATCGTTTGGGATTGTCTGCGAACAAAACGTACACGTTACTTCAACTATTCTACGGACATCAATATATATCTTACAAATTTAATTCTAAATTCCTTTTTAAAACCAACAACACAACTGGTCCACATCACTCATGCAAAGATTTAATATAACCGAATATCCTGGACCACACTGGATTTCTCCAAACTTTTTAAAGGTACAATTTATATATAGTGCTTTTTAAAGCATCAACTCTTCCTAATTTAATTGAATAAAATTAGTGGTTTATCTGTAAACCTAGGAAGTGTATAATTTGAAAACCAAAATCCACTGTTAGCCATTCTCCTCACGCTACAAATATATGTCTGTCAGGATGGTTTGGTCTGGTTGGCCAGGGGACAAGCTAGCTTTCTCTGTTAATTGGTGATTACTTATAATAGTAATTTATTTATTTGGTAATAGCACTCATCCCCCAGCTACTTAGGGCTTTGCCCTCGGCCGGTTCGCTCTCCTGCAACGCCGCAACTCACACATACCTGTCGGTGGCGTCTAGTTTGGCGCCCAGTATGACTGCGAGTAGCTAGGTTTGCTCGCGGCCGGCTTGCTCGCCGCCGCTCGTCCGCCACCACCGCCCGCTACGCTCTCCTGCAACACCCACCCACCGTCAGTATTGCACCTCACACTCCTCCCGACTACCGTCACTCACAACTTTACGCTTGTCATTGTACGGAAACAAATTAGTAACAAACTGAATAGCAACGAGAAAACAGTAATCATGATGGAAAGATAGATAAAATATTACACGTATTGGTGTACCTGGATGTGTTTAATAAGTTTTTAACACTCATATATAGGCTAGAGGCGTTTTATTTAGTCATAGGAACGCGATGGCAAAACTTGAAATATAAAGGGAGAGGTTGGGATGATGTGGTCATATAGACAAAACAGTACATAAAGTGAGCATTAGTGAAATGGCTTGTAGGGATCGACTACACAGACCATTTCCACATAAAATTGGTGATGTTCTCAAGAAAGGGCAGATCAGAAAATCAAGAGTACCCGAATATGGCAGGCTTGTATGAGAGATTTAATGAAAAAAGAAGATAAATACTTGTAAGATGCCATAATAATTATAATGCTTTTTCATTTATGATGTAGAGAGCTCGCAGACGTTATGCGATGATGACGATGTTAAGTGACTACCTCTGCTCATTAACACTTGAAACTCACAAGTCACAATTGTTTTTCCGGTCTTTGAGGTGAGTGTACGCTTCTTTCTTTAAGGTTAGAAGGTTTAACGGCTATAATAACATATTTAAATATCTAGCTGGCAATGTTGAGATGGTAATCTGGACAGGATTCACTCCAATCCAAGAATGTTCAATATCAGATTTTTAGAAACTAGGTATTCATATCCCCATTTCAGCAGTAAGATCCTTTTAGTAAGTGGCAGACCTTTACAACTTATAGGTCAAAAGCTCTGTCATGCAAACCAATGTGTTTGTTATAAACTATTTTGTTTCCGTTATGACAAGTTACAGTTAAGGGTTATAAAGAAGATTACGAACTTGTTCGAGACCTCAATAAAATACCTATCTAAAAAACTAAAAAGGCTTGCGTCATGCATAAATCGGGACTTCATAGCAGCCATGCATATTAAATAAATATTGTATAAGTTTTTGTTAACAAGACCAATAAACATCACATTTTTAGAATGAGCTGTTAGGTGACAAATTTCTACACACGTAAATGTACACAAAATCAATAAAATTGAGTTTAAAATTACACCATTTTAATCGACTTCAAAAAATGAGAAAGTACAATTTGGTTGCATTTTTTTATATTTATCAGAACTCCGTAATTTATGATCCTAATTTTAATTATTTTAATTTTTATTATACTTATTTATAATTGTTGCTAATAAGATATTTCAATCTAAGAAGATTTACTGTAACATATGTAAAAAATCTGTCACCTGATTACACAGCTCAAAGCGAGTTGAAATATTATACAATCACACTTTAGAACAATCCTTATAAGCCAGTTTATATATTTAATGATAGATATAAATGATTATTTATAATAGAGCATTTATATCATATACATGCGATATAGTGTCAAGGCGGGCAGTACATCGTACATTTATGTCTAGAATATATATAAATATATAGCAATATACTATAGTTAACAACTTGAATGCTATAAATAACATTAGAACATATATTGTATGGATGTATTGCTGTTTTATGCAGTATTTTGTGCATGGGGTTTAACATTTAACATTATGTTAAAGGTCAGTAAATAATATTTTTTGTAGGTACTTCTGATAGTGTTCAGGAATTAGGGGCTCTTGGACCCAGTACGTAAAGGTATCTGAGCTATCAAACTAACATATCTCAGTTTCAACTCACAAGGCTCAACTATTTGGAAACGGATGGTTATAAATCAAGAAAAGCAGACAGTTATATGTTTTTCTTTTTTTTTCGTAGTTATTTAATATTTTAAGAAGCAAGGTACGGTTGCAGAGACTGTGTGAAGACAATGGACGATTATAATTATTTGGTTCAATCAAATTCTTGAAATAAAGATTCATGAATTTCAACAGATATTATGGTACTCTAAAAGGTGGAATACAACTAGGGTGGCATCATCACTCTATTAGAACCGGTTTATTCGACAGTAGTAAGAACATTTCATTTGGTAGGCAATATATATATATATATATATATATATATATATATATTATTTCTTTTAGTGATACATTAAGAATATGGAGTGTAATTAGCATACTACGCAGGACAACAGCACTGCAAGAAGGAAAACTTGAAACAAACCCTATACCAGACCGTCTGGCCAGTGTAGTATAGTAGGACAAAACCTACTTTTTAAGGAGAGGCCGGACCAGCAATAGACGAAAACGTAGCTGTCAATCTGTCAGTGGACCCGTAGTTATCAGTTGTGACGAATTAGAAATATTTAAACTACCTAAACACTCCAGTGCAATACTAGACAAAAACAGCAATACAATATATAATAATTAATACATATGGCAAGAAAATTACTTTAAGGTTTATTTTCCTTTGAGCCAAGTACATAAGAACACTAACTATACAGTACACATTCAAAATGTTAACACAGAGTGCATATAAACATATAGGTGCGTTAATAGATATATGTATGTTGGTATATATTACTTACCCGCCTATTATGACTACTGTTCACCCGTACATCCATCTACAAACGAAAGTAAACTCTAAGAAATATAATAACAAACATAATTCAACTAAAGATGCATGCATGTCAACAAAACTTTGTAATCTCTGGTTTTACTTGGAGTGTGTACACTATGAGGATTCATTTTCGCATTCTAATTAAGAGGGAAACAAGACATTGTGTTCATTAAAACCATGTTTCTAGACAATATAATTTGAAACATTTAACATTGAATTTGAAAATATATGACCCATGATGCCGAAGTCATATTCTGCTAGAAATCAGACTCACAAGATTGGAACTATACATATTTAATAAAAGGATATTGATGGAATTTGTCCAAAATTAACAGTCTGCACTGAAAGAAGTTATTATCATAAGATTTACTTATAATTATATAATACATAATAATTATTTAACAATTTAAATAAAAAACAGCTGAATTTTGCTTGAAGCAGCAAATTTATCGTAACATATAACCACTGTGTGTGTGCACAGTCAAATGTTTAAATTATTAAACACCAATAAAAAGAACAGGGTTTCATCACCGCACTAACTTTTTTTAGTATTTGACTTGTGTATTCCAATGTATGTTTCATGTATATATTTTCTGTTTCAATACAATTGTCATATGTCTAGAACATCTTTGAAAAATGCGGTTTATATAATGAATAACACATGAAATGTCATTATGTAATCCTTTCCTCTATTACACAATTGGTTTATATATAAACCCATACGGTGTACACACTTCAAGTAACAATAAACCACTAGAGCAATTGTCGTGACCATATCATGCTGCACTCGTGATGTTCACACTGTATATAAATAAAATGTGTACGTAGTGGGATGATTAAGTACCTAGTATATGAGTCCTATGACTAATGCTACTATCAATTCTGATCTCAACTGTTATAGAGATAAAGATGAAATATGTGTGTGTAGTATTTTGAGGCTTATAAGGCTTATAAAGGAATATGAAGAATGTTAATATGGCCTTCACAGCAACAGCCTTTAATAGTCCACTGCTGGACATAGGCCTCTCCTTATAATTTTTTATTACATGTCTAAACTGGAAAAATGTGTCTTTAATTCTCTTCCTCCTACTCTTTGTCATGTAGGTACATACATGCATAAATCATGTATTTTAATATACTGTTGATACTTTTTCCTAAAAGTTCATTGCATGTTCTGTTTTATAGATAAAATAACTCTCTTGAGAATGATTGCGGTTCTTAAATTGGCGAAATGTGTGTGTGTGTGGTGTGTATGGTGCGTGGTAGTGGTGTGTTACCTGGTGCTGTTGAGGCGCGTGGTGGTGGGGGTGGTGGTGCGGCGGCGCAGGGATGTAGAGGTGCGAGGCTCCGCCGAAAGGGGGTGGCGTACCGCTGTGGAAGGTCGCTTTCTCGTAGCTCTGCGAGAAATATAATCAAATAATATACAATTTTCCGCAAGACTTCACATGAAATTATGAAAAAATCTCGATAATATACGTTCTGGAACAGTTGTGTTTAAGATATACAATTTTGTTTCAAGTAAAAATGTTGTATATGGTGAATATATGAATATACGCCGCATTATTAGATTAAATATTCCATAGTGGAGGAAAGGGTTTCATATCTCTACCGCATAGAGAGAATTCTCTGAGCAGACGAGTCGTGGGCCGCCACCCTAAGGTTGATGTTGGGAACTATGTGGTAATCATCGTGAGAATTTTCATTGTGTGATGCAGGATTAGTAGTTTTATCAAGCTACTATTTATATTTTAAAAAGATAAAGGGGCTTTATATGGATTTTATCATTTTAAAGTATTAGTATAGTAGTATTTTTAAATGTAAATGTATAGATATATCTAAGTAATTACAATCTTACTGCATTGGATATGTAGTACTGACTAATTTACTAGTAAAGCATTAGTAGTAAATATAGGAAACATAAATTAGAATAAAAGTTAATTTTTGGTAAGTGATATGTGATTTAATTATTGTTTACAGTTGGATTATAGTATGTTTGTTATATAATTAGTCATATTTTGTATCAGGTAAGGTAGGCAACAACGGCAGTGCAAGTATAATATTTATATTCAACTACATTCACACAACGCAATCTCGTCGCAAACTATTTGACAACTGATATAAATATACTCAGACTAAATCAAACATTAAATGTTCAAGCACACAAATGTTTGATTTGTGCGATGCCGCGACCTCTGGCGTAGCAGTCCGTTACACAACTCACTACACCATCCGAGGGTTACGGTTGGAAAGAGCAAAGGTGTGTAGTGGGTGGTTACTCTAACCCAAAATAATATCTTGATTTCATAAAAAAATTGTTTAAAATCGTCTTTTATGTAGACTCGTATAGAATCGTCTTTTAAGTAGTAGATCGACACACACAACAGCAACAATCTCTGTTTCGTCAAAAAGTTATAAATTGAATAAAAATGATTCCTATAGAGAATGTGTGAGGTGCGGGTGTGGCTGTACAGGTTACTCACGTTGACCTTGTTGAGCGCGACGTGTCCCTTGGCGTACATGGCGCTGGACAGGTCCGCGCCGGGCGCGGGCTTGGCGCCGGCCGAGTAGGCGGCGCCGCCCTTGTACGAGTCCTGCGCGTCGTACGGCGGCTGCTGCTGCTGCGCGTACGTCGACACCTTGCCGCCGCCCGACACGCCGCCCACGCCCCCCACTCCGCCCACGCCGCCCACGTTCGACCCACCGCCGTACTGGAAACGGAATCCGAATCATTTATATATTTACTTTTATTAAAAAATATAAATGTTGAATTCGTATTAAACATTTTTAAGCTTAGACACGAATAGGGCGGCTCGACCGCGATGGTACAACGGCTTCACAGAAAACCGATGTTAAATAATAATAATTATTTTTTACACATTTCACACGGCCGTCTGATCCCATACTAGGCAAAGCCTGTGCTATGGTGACCAGACTGCTGATAAACATACTTATATATTTTTAAATACATACATATTATAGATAAATTACACCCAGACACAGAACAAATGAGACAACTCCCGCACTAGAAATATATCCTGTGTCGCGGAAGACTAACGACATACACAACGAACACAAATAACACCCACACTCAGAACGACAATTTGCGGATCGCGCAAAGTGTTGTCCCATGTGGGGATCAAACTCTCAACACTCAGCCTAATAGTAAGCGGCGTGGCGACCGCTAAAAACCACTACACCATCCGTGCAGTCAAATTTTCTTACATAAAAAAACTAAACTACTTTGAAATCCACAATAAAAAACAAAAACCGTTATACGTATATCTCAGCTTAAGAATAATAGTTTGTATGGCAGACCGACAGCGACGAGTTAACTTACTTTTCGAGACACGGAATACGGTTCAACTTTGTTTTTTTTTTTACAGTTCATTCTATACCACTCACACAAAATGATCCTCCATACATCGTTCACTATTGAACAATCAATATCTTCCATTACAAAGTTTAATACGTCTCTTCTGAACTCTTTGGGAATATAGGCGTGAGTGTAAGCATGTATAATTTATTAAGCTGGAAAAATAGGTTATTGTGTTCAAAAGTATAAAATATATTGACTCACCGTGGGGTAGACTCCATACTGGTATGTGGTGGGTGGAGGTTGATATGCGAAGTACGCGTAGCCTGGAGGGAGGGCGGCCGCTGGCACCTATAACATTTACGTTGTTATCCATGTTCCGGAGTGATAATACCGATTAATTTAGTTTAATTTCGATGTTAATGTAATATAATAGATGTGGCACGATATTGTAGTTCGGCTCGAAGGACCACACTATGGTGTGGTATCTTGATACTTGTGATTTGATATATTTATTTTATAATACTACACGTGTTGTTAAAAAAACCACAATAACTGCAAGTCGTTTCAAGAGCGTTTACTTATATAAGGTGGAACTATTAACCTGTTGTGGTGACGCAGCATCAGTCCTGCCGAACCTCTCTCCCGCGCTCAGTCCAAACGCTCCCTCCCGACCTCCGTAACCTACTTCGTAGTATCCACCCTGGAATCGTTCATCGTCATCGAATACAAGTCGTTCACACAATTTTAATATCATTATTAACTTGACCATTTCTAATTTAACTACTACATTCAATTTTTGAGTTCTAATAGTTTTGTTACATTTTTTGTATGCGAAATGGTACTTGAGGGCAATTAATTTTGTTTAATGGACTCGGTAACGTATACACAGGTGAACGCTGAGTCGGAATAATAATTGAGTGATATTAGATGTATGTAAATGTAATGTAAGTTAGTTATGAGGGTGCAATAGTTGGTGTAGAGTGTGGAGTAAGAGCGCGGACCCACCATGTGGTGCGGTAGCGTGGAGCGCATGAGCTGGTCGTCGTAGGGCGCGTAGGGCGTGGCGCCGGCGCCGTACAGCGCGCCGCCCGCGTACGCCGACCCGCCCCCGCCCTGCCCCGCCTGCCCCGCCTGCCCCGCCACCACTGTGGACCATTGTTCTAATATTAACACCGTACTAACACTAATCTTTGAATGTAATAAAAAAATTGCTACTAAAAAATTCTGGAGTTTTAAATTATATATTTTATTCTGTCTGTCTATATCTTAGTCGCGCTTCGAGTCGAAACTACTGAATGAACTTAACTCAAACTTAACATAATTTGTTTATCCATTACAAAGTATTGAAATGTATACATAATTTTATTCAATTAAAGATACCAATTATAAATAATACGAATATATAGAACGTTTTATAAAAGTATACTCAAAAAAATAAACAATTATTATACAAACAATTTTTTTTGTCACGAAAATAAGATTAAAATTTGTACAAAAGTTCAATAATTTATCAACTTTTTGAATAGATAAACAAAATTTTGAAGAAAGACATAAAAATGCTCTTTTAACAAATTTAATCTTTAAAGATAGTAAAATAACGCATCACATTATGAAAGATCAAATACTCTCTTCTTAAACTATATAATAAAAACATAACTAACCTGTAGTCGTCGCAACTTTGGCTGTTGAGGTCTGTGTCGTCGTTGCGTTCGTTAAACTATTGCTTGACGCCACTGAATTGTCATACTGGAAATGAGAAACACTGTTACGAATTTCTGAAAAGAAAACTTGGAAATCTGGAAAAGGTTTTGCACTACAACGTCTATAAAAACCGGGCTAAACAATCGAGACTCAATCTTTATAATTATCTAGTTCGGGCGAATCGCAATAAACGCACAATAGACCCTCTAATTATGGTGGCTTCTATCTACCGTGTATCATCAAGTTCAATTTGTGTGTACCTTACAATAATTAACACGAGTAGCATTCAGTAATAAAACAAAGTATCTCGTATATGTTTTAAAAAGCCTATTCGCGCTTTGAATTACGGTTCCAAATAGAATTAATTTATCGAGGGGAGAAGCCACCTGTTACGTAAGACCTGTCAAAGTATCAGAGGGTTGAGTGCAAGTTTATTTTACATCAACGCGCGTTTAGCGTTGCAATTAGTGGATATTTCAGTGCGGGCCAATCGTAGCGCCGAACGCTGTCACCGTTAAGATCGAGTAGAAGTGAAATAAACTCGCACTTGGCCCTCAGAAGGCCAATTATCGTAATAAAAGTTCGGTCTCGATTCAGTTCCGATCAACTTTCGATCTCACAACTGTCATAAAAGGTATTTTCGTAGTAGTAAGTGTTAATTATCCAACGTTGACTGTAATGTGATTATATCGCATTGTCATCAAAAATTTATTCGGTAATCTGCTAGTCTTAGTAATACTTCACTATTTTATTACGAAAATACCTTTTATAACAGCTGTGAGATCTAACGTCGATCGCAACTGTATTGTGACCGAACTTTTATTACGAGAATTGTCCTTCAGGTAGCAAATCATTTATCTTTTATAAGTATAAATAGTATATACCTGCACCTGTTGCGTGTCCTTAGGCTGCACCTTGGGCTGTGCGGTGGGCTGGTAGGGCGTGTAGGGCGCCGCCGTGTAGAGCGCGCTGCCCCCGTACACTCCCGCCGACGACGACGTCTGCTGCAACACGCAACCGATAAACGTGAACATTGACATCCACGGTGCCACCTTAAGGTTCTAACACAATCCTTTTAAAAAGACAACTTCCGCGTTAAGAACATATCCTGGGTCGCGGGGGACTTTACAAACATACATGAAACGGACACAAAGAACACCCAGACTCAGAACAACAATTTGTGGAACAAACAAAGTGTCGTCCGATGTGGGGTTTGAACCCACAACACTCGGCGTAGTAGGAAGCGGCTTGGCGACCGCTTAAACCACTACGACCTCCGTGCAGGCAACTATTCAACATCAACTCACTCTCGACGATAACTAAGGTCACCGAGACGATCGACGATGAAATATTCACACACTAGGTCCCCACAATATAGATGTAAAGAAACGGTATCATGTCCCTAAAACACAAAGCGAGGATCCTCCGAACAGGCGAGGTGATAGGTGATCATGCCTAGCGGACCGCAGCCTAACGGTTAAAGTTGAGAAGTTGTATATATGCTAATCGATGCGAAAACTTTATTTACATGCAGGATTATTAGTATATGATGTATCTCAAATAAGACAAATGCTGTCTACTTCAACATACACAATAATAATTAGAGGCAACCAAGAAAAACATACATATTATGAATTAAAAACGACTATCTCACTTGCTGCTAGTTGCTTATAGGCTTGCTAGTAAGGCTATTAAAATCTTATTATTAAATTGTAGATATGTAATTTATATTGATAAAATAGTTTGTAAGCACCTCTTCGCCCAAGACAAGTTCAATCTAGTTCGGCCAAACAACAAATGTATTGTATTTCTAAATTAGAGAAGCATTTATAATAAATTATTGTTCTCTTCACCTAAATAAATCTTATTATTTTCTTTAAAATGACTTTATTTCTCTACATCATTAAAAAAAAATCATTTTATTTAATTACTATGGTTTGAAAATAACGTCTAAACATGTGCAGAATGTATAGCATGTGTAAACAAGAAAAACAAACTAGTACAAGTATACTGTCAAAAAGAAAATCACGGACATTCCGGAAAGTTCGATTAACCGCGCAATTCCGGGAACCGTTTAATAATTATAATGCAGATTGCCACGGAACAATAAGTTGTATACCAATGCGCATAAGAATGCGAATAAAATAGATTGTCGCGCGATTATCTTGTTTTACATTCGAAACGAATTAGTATTTCTCAGAAGCGGACGGTTCTCGTATTGATTGGCATTTGCTAGAATGATCTTTTACGAGTATTATAAGTACGGACACGCCTTCATTGAGTTTTGTTCGAGCTACAGTGCGATAAACATCGAAGCGATTGATGTAAATAGAAGTGTGACCCAGCGAACTCGGCGATCATGCCGGACTAATCTTGAGTATTGTCTGAACTTTTTTAAGTGTAGTGATAATAAAGTCTCTGTAGCCGTCAGAAGGCTTATTATTCCAAATCAAAGAACCCTAACACGTAACAAAACTATCACAACAGTTGATGTAAAATAAGACAAGCAAATGTCAGGTAATAAGCACAAACAATAATACCATACCTATTCATACCTTTTTTTTATGTTTCTATGTATAATAAGTATGTATTTACAAAAAAAAAGTATATATGTATTTATATCAGTTGTCTAGTACCCATAGTACAAGCGCTGCTTAGTTTGGGACTAGATGGCGTTGTGTGTATGTATTATTATTAAATGCAATCTATATTTTTTTCTAAATCCGATTATTAACCCCTGCGAACTATGCGTTAAAAAAACTTCAGTTTTACAATATTAGTTATTAGTAGACATGCAAGTGTAATGTTATAGTACTTGGACTGCCTGGAAACATGCAGATCAGGTTACAGGTATTAAAGCCTGACCTGCTCGAACTAATTTGGTCTCTCTCTAATCCGTCCATATAAGTAAAAAACCCTTTCCATTCACTACCTTCACTCCTTGGCAACAAAATACCCTTAATATTCCTATCCCCAATGAGCCTTGATGACGAAAATGGTATTTTCTACTATTACTTCATCACATCAACAGTCTTTAATAGTACACTGCTGGACATAGACCTCTCTTAATATATTTAACATCTCTGCATTGCCCTTTGGGAACACAGGCGTGACTATATAGAGTATTAGTATGTAGTATGCCTGCTACGTTACCTGATAGGAGTTCATCATTGGCTGGTACTGTGTGAGTGTGACGCTGGAGGGGTAGGCCGTAGCGGTCATGGCGGAGGCGCCGGTTAGTGAAGCGGCATTCGTTGAGTTCACCTGCAAACATCCGGTTACGTTTTTAGTAGAATGTGGTGAGACCACAAAGCATAAAGCAATCCAAATAGCAAACAGTTAGCGATTAATATATCTGTTAGATTAGTTATTTCATTTTAGCAAAACTTTTGGTCCTTCGAGCCCTTGCATTGTTAGGTTATATGTATCCAAGGTGAATATAAAGCCTTACTAATCATATACTAATTCTGTGCGCGATTGAAGAGTGCTTTTTGAGAGATATTTTTGCATTTTGCCGATTCCAGTTACAAAATACCACTTTTTTGTATGATGATTCAGAAAAGTTTTTTTTTTTAAATAAAATTTAAGCGTAAAGAAAGTATCTGTGCTCTTTAAAATGTAATAATAGTTTTGTGATTTAAGCAAGCAACATTTATGGCAAACAAAAAAAAAAGAAAATGATAAACCATCAATTGTGATGAAAGAAAAATCTAATCGACTGCAGTGGCCAATAACAAACACCTTAATTTGTTTTTACAACACACCTAAACTATAATTTAATAATTATAAAAATATTTGGCTAACAATTTATTTTATTTATTTCCCTATTTATTGTGTGCTGGCTACGGTGGCTCTTTATATAATTAGCTTAATAAATTGGCAAAGATATCTTTGGACATAACTTTTGTACATGATACTGACCATTTATAAGATAATATTTATTTATAACTACTTATAACAAAGATGTTACATCGGTAGAGATTTAATATCAAAGAAAATAAACACCAATTATAACGAGATTTGATTATATTTTAAATATCCAAATGGATATCACCCTATTCCTTAAAATCAGAATTTACCCACGACAGATATTAGAATATTTAAAGTAGCAAAAAACCAATGGTTTAGTTGACAAATAGGTCGTGTTAGCGAGTTAGATTAGTAATCGAGCAATGTTAGTAGGTGTTAGTAGAGTATGAGAGGTTTAGGGCGCGTACACACCTGTGGCGCGTACACATTGGCGCCGTACACTGGCGGGTGGTGCGACACCGCGTGGTGGGCCGCGTACACATTCTGTTGGCCTACGGTCTGTAACAGATAGTAGCTTGCGTCACATGCCTTCTGCGAATCAGTAACGAACATTTTTTGATAGGGTGATTTTTTTTTAATGAATGAATGATGAAATAATTGTGTGCATGTTTGAATTTATTTACAATGAAAAACTAAAGTCTTTAAGTCGTTGTTGATACTTTTTTGGACCTAAAATAATCAAAAATTTTTGTTTAAGTAAAATGTATGTATATTCAATGTCCCTCGTAGTTTCAAAACTATATAATAGTCATTTTTTTGTACGTAAGAGTTGTATTATGATGTTACCATAACTGTATCTATATTTACAATACGATTTATTCAAATCCGATCCAGAATAAGCGGACAGAATAAAAACTTTTTTTTTAACTTTATTTTATAAAAAAAGTAAACGTTTAAGGCACTGTTTGTGCTAACAAAATATAAATTGAACAATTGATGTGATAGAAAATATTTTAAATCTTTTATGAAAAAATACGAGACCAGCATCCCGAGGTTCTGTACCTACCTAATATTTTATCATATTAAGAAATGCAGGTTAAAATAGCTTAAGAAAATTCCTCAAATTTATGCTCTAAACACATTTAACAGAAGAACGAATCACATACACCAAAAATACGTTATAATTATGTATGCTTCTCTCAAATTGGAAATTTTGTGCCACTGCGATTGAAATATAATCTGATCATGATTGATATAATCAAGATTATCAATATGGGTTTTGGGATAGCTGTGGTAGGTTGAATGTGAATTTGTTCTGTTTAATAAAAACACCTTAGCTAAGCAAACATCTTATGGAATTTCAGTTGTGCTCATTATGATGTTTTTTATACAATTTAGCTAAATTGAGGGTCAGCGGTTGCTGCACTTATGAAAACTCGCACAATAATGGCGTTGTATTCCTCCAGTTTGTTTTTTTTAAGCAGTTTGAATGTAAGCAGGTCAGGCCTGTTACATACCTTCAGTATGCCGCTTCGACTCTTCGGGTTATTTCAGTGGGTCGCGTTTATCGATACATATTACTATAATGGAGGAAGAAATATGTGGTCGTATTCAGCTGCTTAAAGAATAACTAGGATCTGTTTTTACAGTTACAAAGGACATCGTAAGGCAAAGACATACATTTGTTGTCGTTAGAGGAGTCATGCTAGAGACACCTTAAGTAAATTTATATGTGCGATCTAAATTACACTTTATTGTGTAAAGCAAAAGGGTCGCTTTTTAAATGATTTTACGGAGTGGGACTTCTGTGATTTAAATGAAGTTTAAATATGAAAAGTTAGAAGATAAGTTTATTGTATTGTGAATGAAAATGATAATAAGTTTTAAGTTGTTTGTCGAAGAGATGATAACGATTAAAAAAATGAGAGCACATATGTGTGTGGGACCATCATGGTTTATGAGACCATCGGTCTTTTCTTTGATCAGACAGTGCAATAGTTTTTTTTTTATTGAGGATTTTGTATCAATTACATTTTTAAAATGTTATGTAATTTGTATTTTTCTTTTTAGAATATTGTGCTTATTAAAACTTTTTCAGTGAGTGGTAAATTATAATTACATTCAATTTGTTTGTTAACATTATTGCGTGGGTAACTTGAGTTGGTTGAGTCGTGTGACACTTAACAAAATTTGAATATATGAAAAAAATTAGTACCATAGTGCGCCATCGACAGTTTTTTACGGACTCGGTATACAGAGTAGGGTGGAGCGTACCTCGGCTGCTATGCGGGGTGGGGTGCGACAACTGCTTCACGGAAGTAGTACACAGAGTGAGATGGAGCGTACCTTTGCTGGCTGAGCGGGGCCGTGCTGCGACAGCCGCTTCACGGACACAGTACAGAGAGGGGAGCGTACCTCGGAAGGCTGAGCAGCTTCACGGACGTAGCACAGAGCAGAGTGGGCCGCTCCACGGATAGTGGCAGTGCAGCGAGTGGGTACAGTACAGTGAGCGGGACGTACCTTGGGGCGCTGCTGGTGGTGGTGCGGCGGCGCGTCCTGCGCGGGGGCGGGGGGGGCGGCGGTCGAGAGCTGCTTCATGGACGCCGCGAGCTGAGCCTCCAGCGCCGAGCCGGCCACTGCATCGACATCACATATATTTTATAACAATGGATAAAGGATAGCTTTTAAAATTATTGTGAAAATTCATCAACCGTAATGTCACAAGTTCATTGTACACAGGACCTTTTTAGAATAGAACGGTTGTGCCTGAGAAGTCCCAAATTACTATTGTAAAATGTAAATGTACGGATTGAACCATGTCCACTGTCTCTTGATGAACATCGGACTACGTGGCCAAGCCGACACATGTTATTGTTGCACAGACTTTACACCGATGTCGACATTAAAGGTCGACTCGCTCTAGCGCTGTGCTAAGCTTTTGAACGCCATTACCATCTATCCGCGAAAAAACCAACGACAGACAAAAAAATAATATTTTTATATTAAAATCATAGTTTAAGAGTTTATTACTATACTACGTTGTATTTTTTGTCCGTGTAGTGACGGATTAAGAATACGGAATGTCACTACCCCAATTCATCCCGTGGGTGTCGTAAGAGACGACTAAGGGCGCAAAACAACGCATGGCACCAGCACTGCAAAAAGAAGGAAAACTTGACACATACCCTATACCAACCCGTCTGGCCAGCGTGGTATAGTAGGCCAAAACCTCCTTTCTAAGGAGAGGCCTATGTCCAGCAGTGGACTATTAAAGGCTGTTGATGTGATGTGATGTGATGTGTTGTATTTTTATCAAATATATAAAAAATAAGTAAAGGTGGAACATATTTTTTTTAGCTCATAATAAATGAAATTAAAACATTTGTATAGTACCTTTTTTTAAAGTCTTTTATACCACATTTAATACAAATTTACAAATTATTATTATAAAACCGATTAAAAACTAATAAGACTTATTTATTTTAAAATATTAATGACCCAAAATTTCTCTCACATAGCTGTCTGATTACGAACTAGACAGAGCTCGTACTATTGTGGCCAAAATTTATGTCATCATCATCATCAACAGCCTATAATAGTTCACTGCTGGACATAGGCCTCTCTTTAGAAAGGAGGTTTTGGCCTACTATGCCACGCTGGCCAGACGGGTTGGTATAGGGTTTGTTTCAAGTTTTCCTTCTTTTCACAGTGCTGTTGTCCTGTGCAGTTTGTTCCCTTAGTCGGCTCTTACGACACCCACGGGATGAATAGGGGTGGTGACATTCCTTATTCTTAATCCGTCGCCACACGGACGAAAATTTATGTATTGTAGATAAATCCACCCACTTACAGAACAAATATGACAAGGGTGGGGAATCTACTGGTGATCTATGACTCGGGATCACTAATAACTAGAGCAACATACAAATAAATAAATTTTTGCCTGGACCGGAAATCGAACACAGTAAGGCAGGCACGCTTTTCAAATTCCATGTGAACGAAGTCACGGGTACCAGCTAGTATAACAAATATAGAACTTACACGTCGTGTTTGTGACTGTGGGTTCTGAGGTAGTTGACGGTTGGCTCTGTGGTGTCGTCTCCACCGCTGATAACGTCTCATTTAACTGAAAAACATAGTCAAAATTAGCCATTGATACCTGTAACACAATGCAGTTGTAGTTTAATTGAATAAGAAGGTTTGTACTCACCTTACTTTACGAGATTTATGATTATCTGTACAACAAAAATAGTGCAGACTTGCAAGTTTGAGCTTAACATACCACAATATGAATGGATAAATTGAATAATGGGTTCACAGCCCTGCGGTTTCAATTTGTATTTATTTGTTTAACATTTTTGCTATCACTTCCCAAGGTAATTCGAATTAGGAATGCCAAATCTGAATAATTATCTTGTTTTCTCTTCATTGGTTTTACCTTTTAGTCATTAATAACTGACATACTGAAGAGCAGAAGAGAGAAGAGTGAGACACCCAACTATAAGTATCATACTAACTATAACTATGATAACTGACATACTGATGCACATATCAAAACAATGTTGCGATATATTTAATGCTGCGACTGTGTCTAGTTAAAAGAGAGTAACCATGAGTTTATTTTCCCTTTCCTCTTATAAGGTTCAACCCTTTGGAAACGGGCGGTTGTAGATCGGCACAGGCATATAATGGATTAACTTCATTTTTCTAAACATTTAACAAAACAGATTTACTTTAAGACAATATTTTTTTTTTATCTTGTTTATGGTATTATATAAGGGGGCAAGTGGGACTACAGCTACCCATGGACACTTCCAACATAAGAGTCCCAAAGTGAGTGAGCGGTTTGGGTTCTAGTAACCTCACTCGCTAAGTGCAAAGCATAAAAGAAATGTTTAACAGTAGTTTTCTGTGAGGCCATGGTGTCACTCCGGTCGAGCTTGCTCTATCTGTGCCGAAGGATATCTTTCCCATGTTACGGAATAAATATTAAATAGTGACGTATATAATGTGTGATGGGTACTCACGTTGCTGGGCACACTGTTGGCTGGCTGGGGGTAGGAGTTGGTGGTGGGGGGCGGTGAGCTGGTGGGCTCGTGCGGCGCTACGCTGGGCGCTTGCGTCGGCTCTGGCGCCGCTGGGGGGGGCTGCTGCTGCTGGCGGAGTACGTTTATGTTATATTCAAAGTCGAACAAATATGTCTTAAACATACTCGTTCAAGATGTTCTCATGAAGTAATTAATAGTAGTTGGTGTTGTATCAGGTCAGAAATTAAGAAATTCATTTTTACTTTAGAGAAATAAGGTTTTTTTCATTAGAATCCCCCGCGCAAACCTCCTAGGGGGTCCATGGACACTCACTAATACACTTGGACCTTCTCAATATCGATAAGAGATCGCCTCAGAGCGATAAAGTCTTTGCTTAAGTTTAAAGAGCTAGATTGAAATTGTCAAATGTAATGTCGTTGAGTGTAGATTGGGGTGCCGGTGTGGGGTGGTGTGGGGTGTACGCACCTTGGGCGTGTCGGCGAGCTGGTCGGGCTCGAGCGCGCCGAACTGCACGTCGAGGAAGAGCGCCGCGCCCCCCTCCGCGCCGCCCGGCATCTCCACCGCCGACGACGGGATCTGCCACAACGCACGGCTGGTTAACGAACTGCACCCTCATACCCACCTTTACACTTCGAGGAAACCTATGATTATTTGTACATTTGGCACCACTCCGTCGACACTAAGATTATTATTTTTATGACTCCACATATATTTTGTTTCGATTATAGCATATAATTTAAAACTAATTCATTATTCTTACACATGTATGCATATTTTGTGCAAATTTGATTTCAGGCATAAATTTCATTTCTAATAGTCTAAAAACTAAAATTTTCTATAAGGCGTCGTCCTAATTGGCCTCAATCGTACGATGGCGCGATGCGTTTTTTCGTCTCCGATCAAAGTGATCGTGCGATGATCCAACAGGTGTCCTAATAGATCGCACGATGTCACATCGTGCGATATCGTCGCGCTCAGAACGCCACTTTAACGATGGCTCTTTACAGAGATGCACAGTTTTTACTGTCGGGCAATATTGATTTGAAAATTGCAAATGACATTGAAAATAGGAAACGTAGACCACATAATATACTTCATAGATCTAGGAATATGCGCGGTGAATTTTTCAACCATTATTTTGATGTACGAAATAACGAAGAAGACTTTTACGATTATTTGTCCATGTCAAAAGAAACATTTGACTACATTTGCAACGGAATACGTAGAGATCTTTTGCGTTGGTTACAGGATCGCACGATCAAACGCATCGTACGATCGTTATTAAGCATGTTACGTGCTCGCACGATGACTTGCGAGGTTCAAATAGGACACTCTGATGAAATCTGTATGATTGAACTCATCGCACGAGGAGAACGCATCGTGTTATCGTACGATCGTGGCCAATTAGGACGACGCCTAAGAATCCAATATTAAACTCTGACATCAATAACAATAAAATGTTCAATTCAATTCAAAATATCTATAATAATGTTTATAAAAATCAATAGCAAATCTGTATGATACTGATTTTTAAACTACCGCGTCCCATAATATATCATCTTTACGGGAATGAATAAGCTCACAATAGGTATTAAGTACATACCTTTGAATTGTCAAATTGGTCAGTCAGGGTGTGAATTTAATTTCCGTAAACACAATTATAGATTTATATGATTTTAAATTGTTCTCAATATTACATAACAATAAAATTCAGAAAATTAATTAAATTTTTCGAGCACATTTACCTTTGACGGCGGTGGTACCCTCGCCCTCTGTGGTTTCCTCTGACTCGTGATATCTGACGAACCGTAGACACCGTAATTCGATGTGTACACACCTGTAATATATAATGTTTGATTAAAATTCTGTACAATGACAAGCACTGAGTGTTAACTTAATGTGTACTTTAAAAAAGAGAAAAATTTCACATGCATGCATGTCACCCATGCTAATAAAATGTGTAAATGGTAATGTGGAATCTAAGCAAAACTGGTTCTCAGAAATTTCAGAAACTTTCTGCTGAAACATCGTTGAATGAAATGTACCTCAAATCTGTAGATAAAAAAACTGGATAAGTGCAAGTCGGACTCGCCCACCGAGGGTTCCGTACAAATTTGTAATCGAAAACTATACATCGTAAAAATAATGAAAAATCTGTTTGGGCTTGTGTCAATGAAGCCCTTTCATACGTTACCCCACATGACATGGTTAACTCAACTCAAAATTTAGACCGCATAAAGACAATGGTTTATTATGATTTAATTACAAATGTATAGTTTTCAGATTTTTACCAATACTTGTAGTATAAGACGGTATTACTTGCCAAATTTTATAGTTCTAGGTACAAAATACCCTCTAAATTTTGATTCTCTTGAGTGTCGGATACTATACATACTTATATATTACCGCAAAAAAAGTATACTAATATACGGCAGTATCTTTTTTTTATGTTAACTTAGAAGTTTGATTTTTTACAGCTTCAGGAGACTCTAGACCTGAGTATATCGTTTTAATTTCAACCCGATACCTCCCTGCGTTCCTGAGATAAAGTCTGTCTTGACAGACAGACAGACAGACGGGACGGACGGACAACAAAGTAATCCTATAAGGCTTTCGTTTTTTTCCTTTTGAGGTACGAAACCCTAAAAAAGTATCAGACTACGAGTTATCGTGCATGTGACACTATAATGGTCTCAAAGATGACGATTTCTTTTTATACAAATTACTAGTTATGTGTGAGCAACGATACTGGTAATTGTATTAATCGGGAGCAGTACGTACTGTTGTCGTGGCGCTGCGACTGCTGCGTGAGCTGCGAGAGGTACTGCGACTGCGCTGCCGTCAGGCTGCCCGACATGCCCATCGGCTGCAACAACATACACAATATTACACCTCTAATACCATTTTCAAATGTTAACCTCCCTCCTGAAGGCTAAAACAAATATTACCTGATGATGGTGCTGGTGATGGAAGGTGTCTGCTGTGGGAGGTTGTGTGTCAGTGGTAGGGGGTGGTGCCGTGACCGCACTCACCGGAGATTGTCGACTGCCAGGGTTCATTTGCTACACAAGACAAACAAATATATTAAAAACAAATATTAACACAACTTTCTTTTGCATAAGAAAGTTTCGTGATCAAATTGTATCTTTAACTTTACTGGCTCAGTGAGTAGCAGGGTGATTATTTGCTCTTTTTACTTCTGCGTCATTGCCCGCAACATAATAATCTTTGAAAAACAAAAATAAACTATATATGTTGTAATTTAAACTATTCTCATGTCATGTGCTTGATTTAAATAATAGAGTATTTTAAAACAATTACCAACGGTGAATTTAATTTTTTGCAGGAGGTGAATGACGACGGAAACGAATATTTACCAATTTTTTTTCCGTGCGGAAATCCCCTCGGATACCACCTGTCGGTGGCATGTCGGACTCGAACCGACTAAAACCGCACGCCGTCTCGGGTACTAATAGCCGGGGAACCAGGTATACCCTAGAAAGGAAGTCCCTGGTGCTACGAATATTTACCCCTGCCTTTACTTGGATAACGCACTCAATCGATTTTAATTCTTATAATAAAGAAAAAAAAAATTACAGTAGTTTTTGATATGTAACATCTGACATCACACTTTTTTTTTAAATCCTTTATGCCCATAGAATCTTGACATAAGTGTACTTAATGCCGAAGGCATTTTCCACCAGTCGACCTAAGGGCGATGCAGAGCTAAAACATGGCAGATGCACAGAAACTAAAAATGAGATTTTATGACAAATATTTATAGAATAATAAGATCTCACACATCTCACACACGGCCGTCTGATACCAAACTAGGTAGAGCCTGTACTGTGGTGGTAACCAGACAGCTGATAAACATACTTATATATTTTTTAATACATATATATTACAGATAAGTAGATAATAACAGATAGATAAGATAATATTTGTATAATAGATCACACAATATTTGTCCTGGGTGGGAATCAACCCAAAAAGGGACTCTCACTCCTGCTAATGTACGGTGTCAGTACTGACCTGGACGAGCGACTGGTGGTGCGGGTGCGCAGGTATGTGTGCAGGGTTGCTGTACGAGTACGTCGTGATCTGACCGTCGGAGGGCCCGTTGAGCTCATTGGCGTCCCACGGCTCCTGAAATAACAGCTGTGTGGTCAGTACTCACGTCGATGAGCGACTGGTAGGTGTGAAGGTATGTGAGCGGGGTTGTGGTAAGTGTAAGACGGTATGTGACTCTTTTGCCTCCGGGCTGTCCCAATCCTCCTAACGCAAATCAATCGCAACTTAGTTACGTCATATCATCAGTGGGGATGCTTAATAAACCAGAAATCGGGTCAACATTGCGTTTCAAGGAACGCTAAAAAGTTTCTTTAAAGCCAAACCTAAAAAAAAACCGTCAGATGAAGCTAATAATAATAATATTGCCGTACAACACATGTATAACAACGCTGACATGTATATTATAAAGCTCTTGAAGAACTATGGGAATAAAGCTGTCATTGGAACCAATACACTTGGATTGCTAAATGGACGAAGTAAGAAATCTCCCGAATAGTAAATGCTAAGTTTGATATGAGTTGTAATGCTACAACATTATAATTAACTTTAGAAAAAGCATCACTGAAGTATTCTTAATTACTTAATTTTCCACTGTTAGGAGTGGTATTTTTTTATACAAAGGAGAATACGTTATTATTTCAGGTAATACTCAATGCAAGCTTATTAATGCTGTTTTTTTTTACATTTGGCACAGCAAAAAAAGTGTGAAACTGTGTTTATTCCAAAACTAGCTGACCCGGCAAACGTTGTTTTGCCATATAAATTATTTCTAGGAAAAAAATTAGGGGTGGGTCACCCTTGTCATTTAGGGGTATTAAAAATAGATGTTGGCCGATTCTCAGACCTACCCGATATGCACACAAAATTTCATAAAAATCGGTCCAGCCGTTTCGGAGGAGTTTGGTAACTAACATTGTGACACGAGAATTTTATATATAAGTTGGTCAATCTGCTTTGACATGGATGAAAAAGGAAGCTCTTTGGGAGGGTCCAAAAATAAAATAATTCTAAATCGATTCATGAGTGACGGTTCTGAAGTAACAAACGAAAAAATAGAACCAAATTGAGAACATCAAGTCGCTTTTTCCCATTAATTTTAAGCAGCACATATTACAAAAACAATAAACAAGAAAAGAAAAATCCTAGATTTTTCTGATGCAAATGCCAAACAGCCATCAAAAATGCAGTAAAAACTAAAACTGGATAACTTATCTACAACTTATGCAGAGATTAAGAAACACATCATCGAGACTGTATGAGACGAACCAAACAAATATTAATAAAATGCATGCGCATACGAATGCAGGCGTTCGTTCGTAGAAAGTGTCGAGACTTACAGCGGTGCTGTTCTGCGCGGGCGCATCCCCGTCCGTGGGCAAGCTCTGCGTATTGACGCTTGGCGTGAACACCTGAAACACACATCACATTATTCAACACAGCCGTTGCGGCCGCCATCTTTTATTCATTAATTCCAACCGTATTGCAGATGAACTCCGGTTATTATGTTGACCGCGTGACATTTAACGATATATATATATTTGAATATATATTTACAGCTGTATTGTCAATCCTTGGGATGTTCAACATCTACAACAAAATTCATTCCATATAGTTTTATCTACCCACACGTTTTTTTTTTCAAAGAAACTGACAACTAAAACAAGTCAAACCATTTTACCGAGTGGCACTATCGATTTTGACTAACCTTTCTATAGAACCATAGTAATCTCAAGTCAGCAGGTAAGAGTCACAGATACTGGTACCTGGACCGACCAGGTGAAAACCGTAATGGAAAGCCGTGTGTCTGACTGTATCCGACAGTCTGCCAACAAATAGAGATGGCGGGAGATTGTCCGAAAGGCTGTGTCTGCGTCTACCACCGACGTGGAAATCTCAATGGGACCATCATCGCTTCCAAGATCGCCAAAACAGAGAAGAGACTAGAAGGCTCCATAAATACAAGCAATATCCGTTTCCTACTATAACCTACTTACCTCACCAACTTTACCTTTCATATTGAACTTCCCAATTTGCCTTCCTAAGAGCCAACACAGTAACACAACAATAAGCTTTCCACTTATTTGTGCGGGATAAATAGGTTTGTCTTGTTACAGTCATCAGGTGCAATTATTAAACTGGTTACCTTAGTGTCTGAGAGAGATCCTGACCACTCCTCATTGTCCCAGTCCTCTGTGGTAGGGAACGGTTCGGCCATGCTGCCCACTGTACAAACATTAATCAATGTTTATTTACAAAAATATGAAAACAGGGGTAAGGATTGAGTTTAGAAAATCTGTGACCATTGCAGACAAGTATTACGATAGTTCTTGCAACCGTTTAACAGATGTCGTTACTAGCGAAATGTGTTGTCTTGATATTTGACGTGACCGGTGACAACGTCGGTATTTATTACGTACCGTTGGAGGGCTGGTCCTGCCAGTTGGCGGGCGGGGCGCGGCCGGGGCGGGCGCGGCGCGCGCCCCCTCCCCGCGCCCCCCGCGCTCCGCCCCGCCCCCGGCCCGAGCCGCGGCCGCGCCAGCCTCCCTCGCCCCTCTCGCCCCGCTCGCCGCGTTCTCCGCGCTCTCCACGCTCTCCTCGCTCGCCCCGGTCGCCTCGATCACCTCGCTCTCCACGTTCGCCAGACCCCCGACCTGACAAACGCATTTTCTCTAGAGCAGAACCGATACAAAATTAAAAAAATGATATTTTTATGAAAGAATAGATAAAACTTTAGGATATTTCTGGGCTTCTTTATAGTTTGAGAATCTGTATTATTTTAGTTAGTATAATAATAGCATTTAAGTTTTGTAATGAAATGTAAACAATTTTAATTTCAGGACTGTATGTTGTGTGACAAGAATTTATTGATTTCTAGTATACATATTTTAAATACGGCCCAGTAATGTTAAACTCCTAATATCCACAAGCGGGAGAATGAAATACTTACGTGGACGGGGCCCTGAGCGACTGCGTGGGTCTCGAGGCGGGTCGAGTTCACCATTGCCGGCCGAAGCCGGAGGTTTCTTTTTCTTTTTCTCACTGGTTTGCCACTCGCCCTGTTACATACACAACACATTTTAACTCGGAAGTACACAAAATTCAAAATAAGAAATACTTAAATATAAAAATGGAAGGTGATAAAAACGTTAATTAAAATTCAAACAAGTTTTAACTGAAATAAGATTCTGGGGAGGGGATTTGGTACCTGTATCCGTTGGCTTTCCTCCAGTAACAAGTTGCAAGCGGCTACCATGTCATTGTCAGAGTCGTGCAGCGCCGAGCAGACCTCCTCCTCGGTGCGACACGTCATCTCCATTAGTTCTAGCACCTGGAACACCACAAACAATTCATCAAAGTCTTACACGCGGGGCTGGCTTAGTGATAGGTTAGCACATTGCGAAATTAGAAGTCCGTGTAATGACGGATTAAGAATACGGAATGTCACTACCCCAATTCATCCCGTCGGTGTCGTAAGAGCCGACTAAGGGTGCTAAACAACGCAGGACACCAGCACTGCAAAAAGAAGGCAAACTTGACACAAACCCTATACCAACCCGTCTGGCCAAGCGTGGTATAGTAGGCCTAAACCTCCTTTCTAAGGAGAGGCCAATGTCCAGCAGTGGTCTATAAAAGGCTGTTGATGAAGTTAGCTATCATAGCCAGGTCAGACCATTCTAACACATTGAGACCCCTCCGTGCCTCTTAGAGGACGTTAAGCCATCGGTATCGGAGCGAAAGTACTTAGGTTGTGGGGCTCTGATAGCAGTCGCTCCACGTAAAAAATGGAAGTTCAGTCATGTCGTAGACCTAAAGCCGACCCCAACCTAGTTGGACTTCACGGATGGCGTAGTGGTTTAAACGGTCACCACGCCGCTTTCTACTACGCTGAGTGTTGTGCGCTCGGTCTCCACATGACGACACTTTGTGTGATCCACAAATTGTCGATCTGAGTCTGGGTGTTCTTTGTGTCCGTATCATGTTTGTTTGTAAAGGCCCCCGCGCGATCCAGGATATACTCCTAGTGCGGGAGTTGTCTTTTTAAAAAGAACGAAAAGAAAGTTTGGAAAAAGACTCGAAGAATGATGATTACACTAGAAAGTCTATTTCTGTGCACTGTAAAGCTCAGTGAAAAATAAAATTTAACAAAACATAGACTACAACATCATGAGAGGAAAGAGATGTTCTCCGAAAAGACAGGTTCTCCGTGTCTTAAACATACAGAAGCAGTACATAAAGTCACCATTGTCCTGAATACATAATAATAATAATATTGTTCCACATTCACACAACGCCATCTAGACCCAAACTAAGCAGAGCTTGTACTATAGGTACTAGACAACTGATATAAATACATTTTTTTTTAATACACACATATTATACATAGAAACACCACGACGAAATCAAATATTAAATGTTCATGCACACAAATGTTTGACTTGAGCGGGAATCAAACCCGCGACCTTTGAAATAGCAGTCCGTTGCACAAACCACTACGCCATCCGGTCGTCAAATATGTGTCAAATTATTACCTAACGTAGATTAGCTGGTATTGTAAGAGTGAGTGTTTAAAAACGCACCTGTGTCACTAACGGTTAAAAAACAGTACGTTGGTGTAATCGACACCGTTACTCGCTTTCCCACGGCTCGGGAAAAATGACACGACCAATTTATAATTGTGTGTGAAATCCTACCGAGTTTGTGAGTATTCTGAGTGATGCTCTATGTTCTATGTTAGAATGCTCTTACATGTATGTACAATGTCAGTTTAAAGTGATTACGTATTATTTTTCTCTTAAAAAGACAACTCCCGCGCTAGAAATTTCTTCTAAATCTGAAGACTTTACAAAACTTTCATGCAAAGTTTGTGTTTTCAGGTATTTCAAAAACCATGGTTAGCCATGGTTTTATTTATTTATGCGCGTGCAAAAACCTGCTTGCGATTATTTGTACGCATTTTTTTTTTGCAAACGAGCACGGACAGGAATGTGAAATTTGAAATACTTTAATATTGTACATAGAAAAAATGGAAATAACTATTTTTTTTAAACAAAAAGTGCTGTATAAAATAAAAAAATATGTAGAAACAGTTTTCAATTCAAATGTTCAGTCACATGTTCAAAGTGCTTGTAGTAATTTGTGAATATTATAGTATATTATTTTATCTTATAATTCAAATTCGTATTCAACGCAAATTCGTTTACCTAGTTCTCTCGAAATAAAAATGAGAAACTGCCACATTTTTATAAAACTTTCACCATTTTACATCCAACTGAATAAATTTATCTCGCAAGCATATATTTTTTCGTTCGTATTCGATACTAAACGCCTTATTATAAAAACCTGGTGAATAAACAAATAGCACAACAAAAGTGAAAAGGGTTTTATAACAGATAAACAGCTGTCGCGGGACGTCTGGCAAACATCGCAATCATTTTGTTAAAATAATGAGTAAAAAAGGAGAGCATATGAAAGAAAATAAAAAATACAGAAGAATTAAAACCGTAATATTCAAATTGTTTTAAAGATAACACAGCACACACGCAGCGTCGCGACGCCAACCGCTGGCCTGACCCTACCTATTAGATGTTTCATATCAAAACATTAGTGTTTTAGGATAACTATCAAGAAACTGATAGAACGAAGAAAAATCTTATTACAGGGTACGACTTATAGGAGCAATCGGTCTTTATGATTTTCCTTTCCGAACATTTAAAAACTATGGCTGACACTTTTAAAATTAACGATGCTACAATGTTTACACTTACAATAGTTCCGGTTCTTAATCTATACTAATATACTAATCTATATATATATAAAAGAAAGTCGTGTTAGTTACACTATTTATAACTCAAGAACGGCTTTACAGATATGGCTGAAAATTGGTGGGGAGGTAGCTTAGAGCCAGAAGACGGACATAGGATACTATTTATTCCGTTCGACATATTTTTTTTTTTTTTTTGTTTTTTTTACGAACTTTGTTTTTTACGTACATCCATGTTTTTCCCATGGTCAATTATATGTGGCATGTTCACGATTCGGAAGACCATCTGCGTTGTTTGTTTTTGGTCGTGAATCACAAGGTACTTAAGTGAAGAGCAACCTATGTACTAAAATGCAGAAACAATAATAAATGATTAATGTACTTCATTTTTTTTTCTAAGAAAAAGTTTAACTTACTAAATTCGAAAATCGGCTTATTTATTGCCTTTAAGGCGGAACAGAGTTCGCCGGGTCAGCTAGTAATATTATAAAGCTGAAGAGTTTGTTTGTTTGTTTGTTTGAACGCGCTAATCTCAGGAACTACTGGTCCGATTTGAAAAATTCTTTCAGTGTTAGATAGCCCATTTATCGAGGAAGGCTATAGGCTATATATCATCACGCTAAGTCCAATAGGAGCGGAGCACCAATGAAGAATGTTTCAATAACGGAGAAAATTTATTACTATTGAGAGACGCAGACGAAGTTGCGCGGGTCAGCTAGTAAATAATAAGCACGATATAAGAGGCGGGGCATCCCCAGTTTTATAACATAGATAACAAAACTACATAATATGTTTTTATATATCAGTTATCTATCACCCATAATACAAGCTCTAAGTTTGGGACTAGATGGCGTTGTGTGAATGTGGTAGAATATGAATTATTAATAATGAAAAATATAACACTACACCGATTAATAATTCTAATTATCTCTGACCCTGTGGATTTACTTGTAACTTTATTAACCTAAATGAAGAAATTAATGAGTTGTTATCTATTTTGCCAGTAAATCCTGGACTTAGCAAAGATGCACGCACGTTACCACGTCAAAACATGATGACATTTTTGCTAACTTCAAATATACCTGGCAGCTTAATGAAAGAAATAATTTTTTCCCGTTTTTGCAATATTTTTCAATGATGTTCGGCTCCTATTGGTAGTAGCGTGATGTTATATTACCTTCCTCCGTAAATGGGCTAACCAAAACTAGAATAAATTTCCAATTCAAACCAATAGTACCCGAGATTAGCGCGTTCAACCTAATAAAGAAACTATTCACCTTTATTTAATAATGATACAATATGATATTTATTTCAGATATTTTTACAAGTCGGACTTCACAGCTAGAAGGCGCCGGCATTTCGTAAGACTCTCTCTGGGCAGAATCAGAGAGCAGAGGTGTCTTATTTTTACTAGTATAGATATCCATAGACTGGACGAGACTAACAAAACAGTCACGGTGACAGAAGTCTATAGAGGTCTATATGGCGATGTGAGCTAAGTCAAATATCTAAAGGTACTAGCCAAATAAGAACTTTCCAAACTAATTTATTCTTCAGAAGCGAATTCTAAAATATTTCTCTTTTAACTCTGGACAACAACAATACAGAAGACAAGATAGAGATCGTACGACACTGAATCCTTTTAAGCAAAAAAAAAGTTACATTATTTTCATATAATGTATCACGAGGATTTTTATGGTAAACGAGCAGGCGGCTCACCAGCAGTGCTATTCTTTAAAGAAACAGCCTTGCATACAGCGCTCCCACAGCGTCGAACTTCAAACTAACTTATTTTGAAATTAGTTTGAAGTTCGATGCTGTATGCAAGGCTGTTTCCTTAAAGAATAGCACTGCTGATGGACATCTACAACTCAAGAGTCACAAGTCTTGTCGCCCTTGGAGTCCAGCAATCCCCCAATCAAAGAAAAAGGCCGAGTCAAGGCCGTGCTAAACTTAGCTCAAGCCGGCTCATATCTGCCGAAGCATGGCCCTCCCCTATTATGCAACTGCCTCAAACTGTTTGTGTTCTCAGTATACCTATTTTTAGTTAAGGTTTGCGTAAAACGAATTCTAAATTGAGAGAACTCTTAGAAATGTCTTTGAAATAAAGTTTCTCAAGCGTACTTATCGGTTGGGTGAATTGAAAAGGAATACTTACAAATTTCAAACTTGTCGTAATTGCAAGATTAAGCCATTTTAAAAATACACTAAACGCCTTACTACATAATTAGATATTTTCGACTTTGAAATCCTTGACAAGATGGAAGATTTTTAGGTACCCACATAATATTTTTTGGGTTTCGTTTAGACTAAAGACGGGCATTCTCATTGAGACTAGAGACTTAACAACAACGATGTTACACAAACACAAACCTTAACTGATGTTCATTAACTTCATAGCAAAAATCATCAGTTTGAAACAATCCTAGGAATATTTATACATAGTCAACTCACCATTCTTCGAACGTCAGACGCGTCATCGCTTTTACGATCGATCATGTGTGCCATTCGGAGCTGTTCTGTTGTTGCCTGTGGACAATATATACATACCCATTACTATCAGATATCAAAAAGTAAAACACTAGGAGATATGTATCAGGACTGCATTAAAAGAAGATATTGCACCGTTATGTATGTATTAGTCGCCATCTATACTAATAAATTAAATTGAAGTGTCTGTTTGTAATGTCAAAATAAGAGGTTCTTTTCATGCTCCCACGGTTTTTTGCTCGATATCTCTGTCTCATTCATCTATTTCTGTCTCATTGTTCCGGATAATCTTCTAAAAAGACGACCGGACGGATCGATTCTGATAAGGAGTAACTTAGGCTTTTTTTCCTCTCAGAAAAATCCTTTAAAAATTTTAAATTTGTAGATGATAGAGCCTTTTTAAAAAAAGTTCTTCAAACAATACTAACAAAGAGCACTAAAAATCTAGCAGCAATCGCGCTTGACATGCTGTCATTTTTTGAAGAGTGCCGTTGTCTGTCTCCGAAACTCATCATCAGATCTATATGAAATTTTAATGGGACCATTTCGGAATAAACCTCTTTCGAACAAAAAAAGAATTTTGAAAATCCGTCTATACATAAAAAAAAAACCTCCGAATTGATAACCTCCTCCTCTTTGCAGTCGGTTAATAAAAGAGCTGATCAGAGCTTAATTAAACCGCTGGGCATACTATTCATAGTATTCCACATACATACAAAAAACGAAGGGTTAACCTATGTCGAATACTTTTCTAATATAAATCAGTATAAATATTTAAATAAATTAACTCGCAAACGGTCATCGTGTGCGTATTTTTGGTAATACTATATCTAACAGAGATTGCCGGCTCCGTTCATAGATATCATAACAGTAGTTGACCTTGAACACCGACGGTGGTGTCATTGACACCAACCTTAGCCTCTTCCAATGGTCGCAAAAGAAATTGTATACGAAACCGAGCTCAGAGATTTTTGTTAAATAAAAATTGTTTGTTTTCTCTTTCTACTGCGAATTGGAAGAATTTTTCGTATCTTTATAGGTGTTTTCTTTGCCATTACATATCTTGCTTTGACATATCTTGGGACAAATACCGACATTTCATTTTTTGTCTGATTATAACTAATAGTTTTCTTGTTTGTTAATATAATCGAAGATCAGAGAAATTTATAAAACCTGTTTTTTGGTACTTTTTCCATAGGATTTAATACAAATTTATTGAAATTTTAACAGAACACCATCTGTCAAGTTACACTTAAACCATTTTATTGTAAAATATTTAGGACCAGATCCTAAATATTTTACAATGAAATGGTTTAAGTTTATAAACATCAGATATTATTATTTCAAGAAAATAATTAATATTACAATTACACTTTCAGCTCCGGCTTATCTAAGTCGCCTTAGGTCACGCGGAAGCCGATGCAACATAAATACGGAACTTGATTCCATATTTAGTTTAGTATCTAGTCTTCAAAACACGATGCAGTATTCAGCGATAGAAATTAATATAAGAGAAGTGCGGTTAAGTTATTGATAGTATCGCAAAGTCGCTGATAATCGATGCTCAGAAAAAAGCCTGCCGGTAAAGATAATTCACTCTCTGACAGTGTCAAGGGCACATAAGTAATAAGGTGACGTTAGATCGTAAAGTTTGGAATGTTAAGAAAGATTTTATCCAATTTAAATGTTTATCCTTTTAAGGCCCGGGCTTTTCTAAAAATAATTTTCATTAGGAGCGATGTGACCTTTATTGAATAAAATGGCAGCCTGACAATCTCGAAATTACAGATATCGTTAAGACCGAACCTTCTAAGAGTCGAAAATACTAGTTGTCGTAATATAGGAAATGTCTTAAATGATATATATTTTTAACTACATTTTTTTTTATTAATGATAATAATTAATAAATACTTGTTCAATCAATTAACAGCCTGGAATAGCCCACTGCTAGACATAGGCCTCTCCTTAGAAGGGAGGTTTTGGCCTACTATACCACGCTGGCCAGACGGGTTGGTATAGGGTTTGTTTCAAGTTTTCCTTCTCTTTGCAGTGCTGTTGTTCTGCGTAGTTTTTTCCCTTAGTCGGCTCTTACGACACCCATGGGATGAATAGGGGTGGTGACATTCCGTATTCTTAATCCTACACCACACAGTTAACTGTGTTGTTACTTGTTAACTATTTGTTAATATTTACTATTTGATAATTTGATATTTGGCTTTGTAACAGCATGCTACAAGCCTTTGTAGAGGATCAGTAATCAAAAACCTATCATGAATTCGTGTTGTAACCGATTTTTTTTTTTTACCACATTCACACAACGCCATCTAGTCCCAAACTAAGCAGAGCTTGTACTATGGCTACTAGACAACTGATATAAATACATATATACTTTTTTTTTGTAAATACATACATATTATACATAGAAACACCCAGACCAAATCAAATATTAAATATTCATGCACACAAATGTTTGACTTGAGCGGGAATCGAACCCGCGACCTTTGGAATAGCAGTCCGTTACACAAATCACTACGCCATCCCGTCGCCATACTATTTTACAACGAAAATACCTTTTATGACAGTTGTGAGATCTAAAGTCGATCGGAACTGAATTGTGACCGAACTTTTATTACGAGAATTGGTCTTCAGGTCACCGATATTAACATCGACTAAAAAAAATATATGATCCATTTTCGCGAATACAGATACTAAAAATCTATATCTGCGAATATACATGTCCAACAATCCGGGTCCGCTTAAAATGGGACTATTGTTAGAATAATTAGATAAGCTTTTTAAGATAATAAAGATGCTTACGTAACTGACTAAAATTCGTTATTATAGCTGTTATATAAACTAGAAATCAGACTTCTTCACTTATTGAGACTAAAAATTCATGCTTATCAACGTAAAGTTAAACACACATTTTCATTTACTGAAAGATTTTTTTAATTGCAATGAGTATTTTCTTTTGCAAGTACATAAGGTTTTTTGCGACTCACAAAACTAAGTGATACAGATAAGTTCTGGTTTTAAAACTTATTTCCAGTGTTGTTATTTCCGACGCCAAACTCGCAGAAGTTTAGGTTTAATATAAGGTTACCCGTGTCATGTCCTCACACTAGTCGGGCCAGCCTACATAAAGAACTTTATTTGAAAGGCGTTCATCAAACGAACTTAGTTTGAAGTTCGACGCTGTGGCAGCGATTTACGCAAGGCTGTTTCCTTAGAGAATAGCACTGCTGATTATATTAGACCATAGATATAGCAGAATTTTATAATACATAAATACTTTTGTAGAGCACGTCTCCCATGATAGCTTGGAGATAACTTAATACATACAAGGTTTTAGCGGTACGATTTGCCTTCATCTGCTTCCGTCGCGTAGTTACTAACGAAAACATAGAACAGAATTATTTCGCGAGTGCCAATCTCGCTGTGTCCCAGCAGAATCAACTGTCGTAGGTACCCCAATCTGTACTTCAAGTTTATGCAGTCTCATTTCAATAGTTTTTGTTAAAAACTACTCTTGTTTGACAATAATGCTTATACGCTTTTAACAGACGTATTCCGCGAGTGCCACTCTGGCTCTGACTCAGCAGAACTGTCGTAGGTCCCCGAACTGTAATTCCATTTTATCGAAGTGCAGTTGGGGTATCGAATTGGTATAGTATCGAATTATATTTAAAAAATACTCTTGACAATAATGCTTATAACATGAGAATGTAGTAGCTAGAATGTAAAAAAAAATAGCTTCCGTACCTGTGGTTTCACCTTTTCCTTGGTCTGGGTTTTTTCTGTGGTCTTTCGCGTGTCCTGTGCATGCTTGCCATCTTTCGCGCCGCCCTTCGCACCACCCTTGGTGGCGCGCGCACCCAAACTCATCTTTAAACTATATACGTTATATTTACAGCCTCTATTTACAAGCAGCTGAAACAAAGCAAAATAAACGTTTAAAATGTAAGTCAATAAACTAAATAAAAAAAAAAATTGTTAGAATATTAGGCTGCCTTTTGAGTCTCTTGCCCCTCCCCTCTCAGAATGATAAAGAAGGGGGTTTGGGCTGCGGTAACCTCACTTAACCGGTGAAAAGTAACGAAACAATTGTTTACCACCGGTTTTCTGTGTGTTAACTATCTAGTCTAAATACGTCACAATTTAAAATGGAGCCGGTATCGCCCCGGTGAAGCCGGCCCATTTGTGCCAGAACATCTTATATACCTGGGTCAAAATCACCAAGGTGGAAAATCAGCTTTACTTGAAAATAACTGCCTCAGTGCGTTTTTTTTTAAACAAATTATTATTTGTAAATACTGTAAAGGGCTCATATTAACCGTACCTCATATATTATACTTCAAAAGTAAAACATATTCATTATTATTTGAAGAAATAACTACAAAAAATCATTTCGAGAACGCGTCCTAAGTAGCAATCTTTAGAAACTAACACCGGAAATATACATAAAATAAAATAAATTTTATGGTTTTTCTTACTTATTAGCCTTAAATTTTATCAACTATTAAGTAATTATATGCATTATTAAAGAGAGAAAAGAAACTAAGGATAATTAAGTCAAAATATTATGTCCGACAATGTAAGCGTCATTTGAGTGAACACAGTTTTGATTGCCCGAAAATATTGTGTTTCTGAACGTGGTCTGTAGATGTTTATGGTGCAGTGTAATGAAAGATGTAAACAAAGTGGCTGTCAAGAAAGTTTCTCGCCAAAATAATTAAAAATAAGTGGTAAGTGCCTTTCGATTCATTATTTACAGAGCGTAAATCAATAGGTCATCATACCGGGAATGCGTTTATTAACTCAAAATGAATGAAAAATACGTATAATAGTGTCTATAAGGAATAGTAATCCCAAGTATTTTACATTAATTAAACCAAACATGATGTCAAAGGTGGCGGCCTTTTAAATAAAGGCGCGTTTATTTATAAAAGTCATTTCGAGAACGGTCATTTCGAGAACGTGCCCGGACTTAACGGAGTATTCTCGAAATGATGATGACGTTCTCGAAATGACTTTTTCATTATCAAACTGACATCTGTTACAACTATTGGTTAAATAATTTAGTGAATGTTGTGCTAACGTAGTTTTTAATAAATGTTTCATTTTTTTAGCAATATGGAGTCTTATGATGCTTCAATAATTAAAAAACGTTCGAAAAAGCACCTTCACAAAAATAGTTCAGCTTACTTGCGCCAACGACAAAAAGCTAATGCCAGAAAAAGCATATTTTTAGATAAGATGACAGAGGAAGAGAGAGAAATTAAAAAGGCTAGGATAGAGCTTACCATAAACAAAAAAGCTGAAAAAAAAGTTAAAAATATTACTCAGATGACTCACAGAGAAAAGCGAAAGCAAAGGAATCTTGAAAAATGCATCAAAAAACACAGGGAGAAGAACAAGGCTTTAATCAAGTATAACAAACAATTCTCCACCACATTGCGGTGATGATTTAGCTGCCACACCTTCACTAAGAAGAAAAGTGGGATGAAAAAGTATGCGTAAGGATGGAGCCTAAACGTACCGTAAAATAAAACAACAGGAGAAAACAATTGCTGAAATTAAACGTAAATATGAAACTTTAATGAAAAGACTAAGAAGAAAAGAAAAAGAGGACAAAGTTCAGGTAAAAAGTACTTCTAACAGTAAAGTTGATGTAATGATAAAAATGTCAACATACCTCCTGAAATGCGCAAGAATATTCCATAGAGAGGGAAATCTGCCAGAAATGTGTTAGCGGTAATATGGTGAGGAAATATGAAAATATGGAATTACTTCATATGGCTAAGAGTTTTTTGCCAAAAGAGAGAACCATTACATCGCTTCTGAAGTCTGATACCAAAATTTGTAAGGCTCTTTGGAAGCCTGAAGTTTGACTAAAAGTTAAAGATTTCTTCCAAATAGATGATGTCAGTCGGATGTGTCCAGCCAAGAGAGATTTTGTAAAGAAAAACTATATTAACAAAAAAGCGTCTCCTTCTATTCTCAGTTAAAGAACTCACGTCAAAATTCGTTAGGGAAACTGGAATAAATTTGTCTTATGCGACATTATTAAGAGCGAAACCATTTTGTGTAGTAGTTCCAAAATTAAGAGACAGAATCTTGTTTATGTTGTATGAATTAAAAATGGCTTTTATTGAAGATATTCCAGTTATGAAAAAACATATGTATGGCATCTACAGATACAACAAACTGAACTGAACTGAAAACAGAGCTAAAAGAAAATTTAGCTGAAGAAGAGGTAATGATACAGATAGACTTTTCGGAGAGTTACACATTAATTCTATTCATACGGGCGTATATTATATACGAAACTTTGAGAATGGTTTTCAATCTAAATCGTTTGCTACCGTAAATTTGGATCATCAAGCCCATGCGATATGGGCTCACATGAATCCACTCCTACAAACAATATTAGAAAAAAAAGATATTAACACCCTTCAAATCTACTCTGATGGTCAAACATCACAATACCGCAGCCGAACTAATATACATCTTTGGCTACGAACATTAATAAATGGATTCAAAAAGATAACAAAAGCTTCTTGGACGTATAGTGAACTCTCTAAATGACGATATGCTTCATTTAAAGAACACGTGCATCATTCCGTGAACACCTAATCATTTTCGGGAACATTACTACACAGTCACAGATAACACATTATTAATTTAGATAATTAAAAAAGTCACTAGCAATATTAAAATAAGGCGAACTTCTAATATCGTAAGCCTATTTATTTTAATATAAGTCAACAATTATGGCATATTTCGTTAATTTTATATTAGGAAATAGTCCAATAGCTCCATTTGTAGCAATATTTTGTTTCTAAACGCTTTTATTTGCAATTTCTTTGGAGTTTTTTAATTTCTTATTAATAACTGCTTACTGCCGCTAATATACAGGGTCTAGAGAAATAGTTAAGTTATATTTTAATTTTATTATAAGTCTTACAAAAACGTTCCCGGAATGATTGTTTTCAGTGACAGCTCAATTGAAAAATAAAATTACAGGAGTAGTACTTTATTCTATGCTCTGCCAACGTACACATTGTTGAAACACAAGTTTAGTGAACATCTAAGCTTATTATCAATGTAATAGCTGTTAAGTATATTCATCATAAAACAGAACTCGGAATTTTCCACCTTGGTGATTTTGACCCACCTAATCCTGAAGACCACTCTCAACAAAAAAAAATTATTCAAATATAATACATAGATTATCTCGTATTGTATTGCACAATTAACATAAAATAATCAGCCGAAAGACAGCAAACAATACAGACTTTTTGAATAGACAAAAACATATTTAGTTTGACAATAGCAGAACACAACCAGACGCAAACATTTGTTAGAATAACACAAACAACACCTCCGACACCAGCGACGACCCAAGGTTTGGCTGCAGTCTCAGTTCAAGGCTATACCACTAAATACCATTAAACAATACACCAAATTTCAAAATCAATCAGAGTTTTGTAAATTACTGTGATCTCTTCATTAACTAGGAAAGTAGCTGATGATCTCAAATTATATGTAGCTAAGTACCATCTCGATCGCGTCAGCTTTCAAACAAAAACCGCATCATAATCGGTCTATTCGTTTAGGAGCGAGCTACAATGCCACAGACACGTCAAACTTATAACGCCCATCATTTTTGGGATTAAAAAGAATATCAACACGATCAATATTTATTTCAGAAGACACAACAGACAATTTTTTTATTTCATTAATTTAACGACAAGCTAACTTCGTCTGAGTGTCTAAAAAGGATTCATTGTTCCTCGTTTTTCTGGAAAAAAATCTATGTTGTTATCTATATAATTTATAATATATATAAATTGATGTTATCTATATTATAGTCTACCTCAATAAATGGGCTATCCAACAGTAGGAGAATTTTACATTTCCAACAAGTAGTTCATGAGATTAGAGCATAATATTAGTACAGATTAAAGTTTAAGATAAGTAGGCATGGAAATTTTTGCAACTTTTTGTGATTTGGTCATAGACAAAGAAAATTCTTTTTATCAAAGATCATAACCTTTTTTTGAGATTTAGACCTTTTGCAAGTCTGGCGTTAGCGTAATATTAAGTCTCAATGGTTCTGAAAATTAGTCACAGGTATGCTATGATTACATGATTTATAAATCGTATGATTTATCACAGGTGATTTTGATTTTATTCCATCCCTAAAGATAATCGTAAAAATGATACGAGCGACGATATTATTACGTATTTCTAACAGTTCTACGAGATAATCGCCCTATGCGATCAATGATATAACATTTCACATTCAGAATTGACGCAGTTCTGGTTATTGTTTATTTTAAGAATGGATGTCGGCATAATTGTCAACCAATTCAACAAAAATGAGATTGAGCTGTCCTTTATTCATTCATTAAAACTGTCAACATCGAGTACTGGTATAACTGCTGCCAAGTGCAACTTTGGTCCCACCGAAACTTAAGAAGGCAAAGCATCATAAGGGTATTATGAATTAAATGCAAAAATACGTTAAAAAAAATATATATATATTCGGATATTCCTTGTATAGCACAGGCTCTGCCTAGTTTGGGATCAGACTACCTTGTGTTTATTATTATTTTAACTATTTGTCTATGAGATATGTGTTGCCAGGATATTCATTGATCACAAGTGACACATCTCGTTTATAACACAATGAAACCACCTCGAGTGAAAAAGGAAAAGGAAAAATAAGACTCGTCGAAGTAGCGGAAAACTTTCCACCTATCGTGTCGTGAAAGAGCGAGACGCCCACGTCGATCAAAATAGACACAATTTATCGGAATCTTGGTAATGCAGGTAAAACGAACAGTCCGTATGTAGGTGTTACAAATATTACCATTGCC